GGTTGTGTGTCACGGCTCTGACCTTAGGTGTTGGCTGTGTCTCACAGTTCTGACTTTTGGTGTTGGCTGTGTCTCACAGTTCTGACTTTGGGTGTTGGCTGAGTCTCACAATTCTGACCTTAGGTAGTCTGTTTAGTAATATTCATAACATTTCTTCATTTATGATAGGCGGGTGTTCTACGATGGATTATAATTCAGAAACCAGGCGATTATTTGTTGGTCTTGACAATGGAACAATTTCAGAATTTCTTTTATCAGATGATTTTAACAGGATGCAGACGAGAAGAGATTATCTTGGTAAGTATTTGAAAGACATGCATTTAAAGTTTAGAACAGCTCCCTCTAAAGTCAAACAGAGAAAGTGATCCATTAAGGCTATGCACAGTGTTTACTTTTATTATTAGTTCCCATTCGAACGCAGTTCGAAAACGGGAACTTATGTTTAGACCCTTGTGCGTGCGTGCGTGCGTCCGGACCTGTATCTTGGAAATGCCTGGACCAATCATAATCAAACTTCACACATACATCATACATGATATTATATCTGATTCAAGATGGCCGAATGGTGGCCATTTTTGTGCTAAAAAATCATCAAATATCAAGCATTTCTGGATGGATTTCATTCAAATTTGGTACATACATTAGACATTACAGGTTCCTGATGCACATCATTTTATTTTTCAGATCAAAAAGGCTGACTGGCGGCCATTTTGTTTTAATGAATGGGTTTCTTTGCTTGTAATGTGTCTGAAAATGTTATTACTCTAATATGCATATGTTGTTTGTATATATATATATACATTTTGAAGGATTTAGTGACCCTGGTTTGGTTTGGTTTAGTCATGGGCGACCATGGTTTGATTGAAAAATGTAGTTATAAGTGCACTTGATGTACCTTTGCTTGGCCATTTTTCGTCCACTATCGTCATTGGGAGAAGTCTACACACGGGTGTATGGTTGATTTACATTCTCATTCCAGTGTAGAATCACTAAATTAGTATGCATTATATACATACAAGGTTGGGGACGATACAGCAGTGCTGTAAACATTTGCTGCTCAGTATCATCAAGCAATGTATTTACGTAACTTCCAGAAATACTAGTATGTGACACGGTATGCTGAGCATCAAATGCATTTGGGTCGTATGGTTGATTATTAGCAACCAAAAATCGCAAACTTCTTTTAAGACTTTGCAGTTAGTAAACGTTTTCTCGACTCCCACAAGACGTAAATGTCGGCCTTTAAGTGTTTAATATTCTTAATTTGAATCTTATGCTGTGATCTGCCCCACCAATGTAATGATATCCCTATCTTATGCTATGATTTGCCTGCCCTTACTTATATAGGGCAAGCCATGTATAGTTTTACAATGTTTAAACTTGATAACTAAAGGGGGATATGTAATGCCATTCATTGTTGTATGTGTAATGAATTACTTCTGTATCACATTTTGTTAAGTAATAAATAAAATGTTTTGTTTTGTTTTTGGTAGCACATCAGAATCGAGTAACTGGTATATTTTTCACCCTTTTATCTGAGTGGGTTTTGAGTGTTGGGCGTGATAAATATTTCCAGTGGCATTGTAGTGAAACAGGACGGCGATTAGGAGGTTATCAATCATCATCTTGGTGTACATGCTTACAGTATCCTTTTATCCAAACACAATGACTGTTTTTTATGCTTCATTAAGATATATTTTATTTGTGTCAGCATCCTTTACTTTTTTTGTCATATTACCTCAAACCCTGCAAACAGAAACCCAGGTGGTGTCATTGAATCATGCCTATAAATTAGACAGACTGTTGGGGTCCATCCTTTCAACTTGTGTGTTGCTGCTACGATATTGTAAGACAAGTGATACAGGCTTCAACCATCATTATGTTAGACTTGTATGAACTGCTCTGTGATCTCCTGCTTCTGGCAGTGCCCTCTAGAATAACAGCGTTCCTCTGCAAGCGAGACTCCTGTATTTCTTTGTGTTGTGTTACAGAAGCCATTGACTGTCGTCCATTTCTACATCCTGAAACTGTGAGTTATCACCAATGCACACTTCCCTAAGCAATCCCCTATTTTAGTAACTTTATTCATTGTATTTTTCTGTGCTTTATTTCTTGTAATAATGTTGAGAAGTATTAAAACCAGGAGCTTTTACTCTATAATTCACTACGTTCAATTACTCACCATCGACTCCGGTCAGTCAAAATGACTATTTAGAACTGTAGGCATTAATCAGCGATTCTGCCGGTGACGGAGAGATAGAATTTAGGTCAGGGGAAGCCCATGACCCCAAGATTCTTTTACCCCTTATGTCATGAACCCACGTGACCGAGGCCACATGGCAGCACCAAAGGCGGCCGTACAATCACTCTTCTTTCATCTCCGCCTCGTCAGGAATGATTCTGAGCAGCTCTGCCTGGCTCTGTTGCTTTTTCCTGTCTGGGTTTCTAGCGTGGGTCATTGCCGCAGCCGCAGCATCCGGCGTTCTAGCTGGTAGGATAAGTTTTTCTTGTCTTTTTACCCTCGTGTCATTTTCCCCTTTGTGTGTTATGTTTTTCCACAACAAAGAAATTAAAACCTGGCGCCACCACGTAGCCACTTGTTGGTTTCATGGCGGCACCTTTGACAACTGTATTTCGTTTCCCTCATGCATGTCGCCTTTTATTAGTCCGAAAACGTGGACTTATTTTTTGACCTCCGTGTGTCCGTGCATGCGCCTGTGCATGTGTCCGGACCTGTATCTTAGAAATGCCGCATTCTAGACACGTCTCTTCAGGGGAACTCCCCGTTCCCAGCCGTGACCCCTCCGCTAACCACGTCTCTTCCTGGGAACCCCCCGTTCCCAGCCGTGACCCCTTCGCTAACTTGGGGGAGGCCGAGGCTCAGGCTAGTCACATCGGGTCTCCTCGGGGACCTCAGACACAGAACACCAACAGGGATGCTGGTAGCCAAGACTCTGTTCTCGGGGCAGGGCTGTCGGAGCAGGGCATACATTACACACACACACACACACACACACACACACACACACACACACACACACACACACGATGTATATTCCCCCCATCCTCGATCCTAAAGCAACCACTCACAGCTGCTTCTACGCTGATGGGATCGCAAGCACCGGGATCCAGATCGACCCCACCTGCACGTCTCCCCTGGTCCAGTCGAGCGCTGAGCGTGGCGGACGGCGTGCAGACGGTGTTGAGGGGCGGTCGTTGGTCAGCTGCAGAGGAGGTAAGGCCAAAAGCCCCGGGATGGGGTAATCTTTTGCATAACCCCTTTCGCTGGACCAAACGCTACCCTATCAGGGCAATTTCGGATTCGGATCCCAATTCATGGGACGAAACCAGAAGTCCCCAACCGGACCCCAAGACTCCTTCCCCAGACTCCAGTACCACAAATTTTTGTTTTGCTAATCGGGTAAAGGGGGATGGCCGCGTTCCATGGTCATTTTCATCGACCCAGTCTGAGACTATCTAACACGCCCTGAGGGCAGAGTTGCCACCCATCAAAGAGCTTATGTTCGGCAAGGGATCAGGCTACGACTTAGTAACCCCAGTGATCCCCGGGGAAGCTCACCTCACGGAAGAAGGGAGACCCCCCTTATTGCAACCGTCGAACCCATGGCCACAGATCCCTGTCGCACGCAGATTGCACCATGCATTCTGGCTTTGAGGCAGCGGGTAACAGACCCTTAGACGCTCCAGGTGGTGACCCTTAATACAAATACCACTGACATCTCAACCGCTCCTGTCAGTACACCCCCCCCCCCCCCCGTTGGGGGCACTGCCAAGGGAGCCATGGCAAGGCGGAAACAATCAGACAGGAAGTAGACAGTTTGCTAAGGAAGGGTGGCATACACAGAATAGTTCAGTCGGCGGTAAGTTCGGGCTTCTACTCAAATGTATTCGTAGTACCCAAAGTTACAGGCGGCTGGCGTTCGGTTCTGGACCTAAGCAGACTAAATCAGTATGTGCTTCTCGATCGGTTCCGCATGGAGACACCATCCAGTGTCCTACTCTCCATCCACCGGTTCAACTGGCTAGCCTCTTCAGACTTATGCGATGCATACCTGCACATACCGATGCACCCAGCGAGTTGCCCGCTCCTTCTATTCGCCCACCTGGCCCAAGTATTCAAATTTTGGGTGCTCGCCTTCGGGTTAAGCACAGCGTCCTACGTGTTCACCAGAGTGATGAAACAGGTAGTACTGCTGCTCCACCAAATATTGTTACACAACCCAGACAACCCTCAAAAAGTCACATCCCGACCCGACTCAACGGTTGGTGTTTCTGGGCATGGAGTTTGACACAGAGGTAGGCCTGGTTCGCCCGTCTCAAGCGCGTTGCCTAGCACTAAGCAACCTAGCAGAACGCTTAGTCACTGTTCCCTCAGTGTCCCTCCGATAACTAATGCGGCTCATCGGAATGATGACCTCTGTTCGAAGGGTAGTTCCCCAGGCCATGCTACGCAGTCGCCCCGTCCAACGCTTGTTATTGGAACACCGGGCTCACCTATGGGAACTAGATAGGCGAGCATTGATCCCGGACCAGGCAATGGAAACCCTGTTCTGGTGGTCGTCAGTGACCAACCTCGGGCAGGGGGTCCCCTTGGACCCACTCGTCACAGCGTAACAGACGCCTCCCTCCAAGGGTGGAGAGTGCATCTATTGGACAAACATGCCCAAAGAATATGGCCCCCGCATTGGGTTTGGGACCACCATATCAACTGGCTCAAGCTGAAAGCAGTGCACCTAGCACTATTACGCTTTCTACCTGAAGTTCGGGACCACAGAGTCCTGCTCTGCACAGACAACACAGCGGTGGTCTCCTATATCAACAAGGTGGGGGGAACGCGTTCTCCATCGTTGTCGGTCCTAGCAGAGCAAATTCTTCTTTGGTGCCTGAAATACAATGGGCCATTCCAGTTTATATCTGCACCCCTCCTGTTGATGTGGTCGGATTTCCAGCACTGTATGATGGGGAAAATACCCCGGAATTCCAACTGTATATGGAGAAACAGAATCTGGAAATCCAGACGAGTATGGAAAAAAAAATTCCTGGAAATCCAGGCAGTTATGGCTACTAAATAAAATATGGCCTAGTTTATCTCGCCACATACCGGTTGATGAGGTTGGATTTCTATTAGTATGACTAAAAAAACTGACTCTATATGGTAACAAAATTGGGCCAGTATGAAATAGTTATTACTGAAATTAGATAAGGATGGTGGCACGAATGAGCTCATCAACACCGTGAATCAGGACTAGTTTGGATTTCCATTATCAAATATAAAATTTTGAACTTGATAAATTAGCATATGATGAGTTATATTTGGAAATCCTACTCTGTATCAACACCATAAGTAGGAACTTTAGTTTTGGATCTCCATTACTGTATGGTGAATGGTGATTTGGAAATAAAACTTTGTATGACTTATACACCCATGGAAATTATACCCTGTATGAAGTAAACACTCAAGCTCATCAACAGGGGGGGGGGGGTGCAGATATAAACTGGAATGGCCCAATGTGGATCTAACCGAACACCACCTTCTAGGGGTGAGGAACGGTCTGGCAGACGCCCTTTCGAGGCGGCTCCGTCTCCAGAACATGGAGTGGCAGATACCCCAGTGGGTAGCCTCCAGGGTGTTTCGGCTGTTGGACGGTCCAAAGATAGACCTGTTTGCCGTACCCCGGAACACCAAGCTAACGACGTACATAACACTCCTGTCGACAGCAGGAGCCTAGGCCACGAACGCCTTATCGATCCCGTGGTCCCACATGGATGTGTACGCCTTTCCTCCCTTCCCGTTAATTCACCGGGTACTGGAGAAACTTCGACAGGAGCCCACCTGCATATTAACTCTGGTGGCGCCCAATTGGCCAACCAAGGCCTGGTTTCCACGCCTGCTGGAAATAATAGTTGAAACACCAGTAGTGCTTCCAGACTTATCGGACTTGCTGTCCCAACCGGACGCCACACTGCCAACAAGCCCAGCAATGTACCACTTACACGCATGGAGGCTCTCAGTAGACTCGCACAGACGAAAGGTCTATCTAAGCGGGCTGCCAACGTCCTGGCCAGGGTGAACAGGGATTCCACCAACGCTGCCTACGACTCGAAATGGCGAGCATACTCTAATTGGTGTAGTGGAAGAGAGATTGATCTATACCATCCTTCTATCGGCCAGGTAGCAGACTTCTTTGTCCACTTGTTTGACGTAGGAGGTTTGTCCTACGCAGCAATCTTTGGCTACAGGTCAGCCTTGTCCCCCCGCCATAAAGAACTCTTTGGGGTCAAGTCTAGCCGATTGTTCTATTATTAGGAGACTGTTTACTGCTTTTCATAATCAGAGACCAAGGACTCGTACAAGGAACCCGCCCAATTGGGATCTATCGGCTGTTTTAGCAGCCCTAGGCAAACCACCTTTTGAACCTCTCTTCAGCACCACTCAAGTTTTTGACGTGGAAAACAGTCTTCCTACTGGCCCTTGCCTCAGGTAGGCGCTGGTCAGAGCTAGGTGCACTGTCCTTCGCGGACGGTTGCGCTGCCTTTATGGACGATCAAGTTGTACTAAAGCTTTGAATCTGGTTTCTCGCCAAGAACCAAATCCCAGGACATGATTCTCAACCGACTTCCATCTCTAGGTAGATTACTGCGACTGTACTGGAGGTCTATAATACATTATCCTCCTCAACACAGACTTTGCAGAGGCACCAAGTACGAGCACATGAGGTCTGTGCGATTGCTAACACCCAATCTATTGAGCAGGGTCTCTTCAGGTTAGGCCCCGTCGTAGCGGGTCAGGCTACGGTTACCGACCCAGCCCGAATAGGCGGGTTTGGAGAACCCTTGCCTAATTTTGGTGTATGTGTATTTCATTTCCAGTACTATTGTCTTGTCTACCCCATACTAGCAGTGAAAGAACCCTCTGTCCAGTGTGAGTTCTGTGGGTGGCCTTCTCAATTGCAATAAGCAGGCCTTACACTGTGACAATTTGCATTATGTCAAGCATTACCTTTTTGAACAATCCTCTTAACACCACATCTTATTGTACTTTGACAAGGATCTACTAAACGTTGTATTGTACTTTGAGAAGTATCCTCATCTTATTAGTCCCCATTCGGACGCAGTCATGCTTGAACCAATCGCAATCAAACTTCACACATACGTTATACATAATGTTATACATATGCACATCAATTTGTTTCAAGGTCTGATTCAAAATGGTCGAATGGTGGCCATTTTTGTGCTAAAAAATCATCAAAATCAAGCATGGATTTTGTTCAAACTTGGTACATATGTTGGACATTATGGAACCTTGATGCTCATTAGTTTATTTTTTAGATCCAATTAAATATATCTCTGTCATGCTTTGACTGATTATGATCAAATTTGTATCTCCGCTGTTGACTTTGTCGAGTGGAGCTTATCATACGAGTGATTGTCTGTCGTTGTCCATGTCAACTTTTTACTTTTTCGACTTCTTCTTGAAAAACTACAAGCCTGAATGCTTTGATACTTGGTGTACATGTGCCTTTGGTAGACCTCTTTTAGATTTGTTCATTTCATGATGATATCTTCAATTTTCTAAATTTGGTGAATATTTTTGTCATTTTTGGTAAAAAGTGATATTTTCGACTTCTTGTTAAAAACCATAATTGTTAACATTATGTAAATTACTTCTTTGTTCTATGAAGTGGTGCTGATGCCACATTGTCGCCATAATGAGGCCACAATGAAGCGAAGCGATAACCGCATCAATTTGCATTGATGCAACACTGAAACCAAAGTAATGCCATAATGATGTGATGCTTAAGCCAAACTGATGCTGAAGTGAGGCCAAATGTTATGTGATAACTGTACTGTACTTTGAGGAGGATCCTCTCAACACCACCTCATGTTATATTTTGAGAACCGATCCTCTCAATACAACGTCTTGTTATAATTTCGGAAATGATCCTGTCTACACCACGTCTTGTTATACTTTGGGAAATGATCGTCTCAATACCACATCTTGTTATACTTTGGGAAAAGATCCTCTCAACACCACGTCTTGTTATACTTTTGGAAAAGATCCTCTCAACACCACGTCTTGTTATACTTTTGGAAAAGATCCTCTCAACACCACGTCTTGTTATACTTTGGGAAAAGATCCTCTCAACATCATGTCTTGTTATACTTTGGGAAAAGATCCTCTCAACACCATGTCTTGTTTTACAGATCTTCTCAACACCACATCTTGTTATACTTTGGGAAAAGATTCTCTCAACAGCACGTCTCGTTATACTTTGGGAAAAGATCCTCTCAACATCACGTCTTGTTATACTTTGGGAAAAGATCCTCTCAACACCATGTCTTGTTTTACAGATCTTCTCAACACCACATCTTGTTATACTTTGGGAAAAGATTCTCTCAACAGCACGTCTCGTTATACTTTGGGAAAAGATCCTCTCAACATCACATCTTGTTATACTTTGGGAAAAGATCCTCTCAACATCACGTCTTGTTTTATTTTGGGAAATGATCCTCTCAACATCACGTCTTGATATACTTTGGGAAATGATCCTCTCAACACTACGTCTCATTATACTTTGGGAAAAGTTCCTCTCAACACCACATCTTGTTATACTTTGGGAAAAGCTCCTCTCAACACCATTTCTTGTTATACTTTGGGAAAAGATCCTCTCAACACCACGTCTTGTTATACTTTGGGAAAAGCTCCTCTCAACACCATGTCTTGTTATACTTTGGGAAAAGATTCTCTCAACATCATGTCTTGTTATACTTTGGGAAAAGCTCCTCTCAACACCATGTCTTGTTATACTTTGGGAAAAGATCCTCTCAACACCACGTCTTGATATACTTTGGGAAAAGATCCTCTCAACATCACGTCTTGTTTTACTTTGGGAAATGATCCTCTCAACACTACGTCTCATACTTTGGGAAAAGTTCCTCTCAACACCACATCTTGTTATACTTTGGGAAAAGCTCCTCTCAACACCATGTGTTGTTTTACTTTGGGAAAAGATTCTCTCAACATCATGTCTTGTTATACTTTGGGAAAAGCTCCTCTCAACATCACATCTCATTATACTTTGGGAAAAGTTCCTCTCAACACCACATCTTGTTATACTTTGGGAAAAGATTCTCTCAACACCACGTCTTGTTATACTTTGGGAAATGATCCTCTCAACACCAAGTCTTGTTATACTTTGGGAAAAGATCCTTCAACATTACATATCGTTGTACTTTGGAAAAAGATCCTCCCAACACCATGTCTTGTTATACTTTGGGAAATGATCCTGTCCACACCACATCTTGTTATACTTTGAGGAGGATCCGCTCACAATGTCTTATTGTACTTTGTGAAGGATCCTCTCAATATCACACCTTGTTAAAGTATTAAATAATCTCAGTATACAAATCTCTCTTTGACTAAAATTCTTCAGATATGATGGTGAATCTAAACATGCTTTTGTAGGTGATTATTCCGGTAGTATCAGTGTTCTCAAAGTTGAAGATAACAATTGTACTCTTATTACATCATTAAAAGGTCATTCAGGTGAG